TATGTTATGTTAGTTTATAAAGTACTGTCTAATCACCTCATTGATCGAGTGTTTGTAAGTACGACAGTTAAACTGGATGTCTCAAACTTTATATCTAGTTTGCTAAAGTATTATTTTTTTATGGGTCTGCCGGTAAGCGAGCAGACGTATCACCTGATGGTTAGCAATCGGCGTCGCCTATGTACACCTGGAACACCAGAGGCGTTAAAAGTGCGCTACCGGTCTTTTGGGGTTAAGGAATTTGACGACTATACCGGATTTTGGGTGTTCTGTTTAGATATATAATAGTCTGGGGATGTTAAGACTAAACAAGCATCATGATCATAAGACGTTCGACGACTTGGCCGATGACTCTAAATAGACCGAACAACATCTACAAGTAAATATATCACCCATCATACCTTTAACACAGACTTCATAACGTTACACCTGCATAAGTAAATAATAATAATATATTTATTTGCTTAAAACATGGTATAAAATAGGTGTTACAAAAATATGGTTGAAGCACAACATGTTTTGCTAATATTTATATAGCATGCAAAATTAGGAAAAGTTCTAAAATTAACATCCTAGGCGTGAGGTTAATTTCCTTTGCATGAAATCACTTATAGAATAATAGTTTTGTTCGTTAAGTCATTTGTGCAATTTACGCTTAAATAGATTTATATTAAGACATTTCAAATCATTCGATATATTGTTATAGATACGGATACACATAGCCAAGTAAGTAGCACATAATACAATATGACTCCTCAGTAAATACAGATGAGCCTATTAGCATACACTGGGAACAAAATCAGACACCCAGCTATTACTGAGGCATGTTCGAACAATAACCAAAAAAAAAATACTTCACCCGACTCGGCAAACAAACCTGAGACCCGTACCGGCTCGCATGTATCATGTAAGTATTCATTTTAAGTTAACACAATAAAGTTAATAAACTGGTTGGTGAAGTAGACCCATAATAATTACCACTTTCAAAAATGACGTTTGAGTATACGGCCGTAAAGACAAACGTGTTATACCAAACTGGAATAAAGGAGAAATTCATTCAACATTGCAATAAAAAGAGTATTTTAAAGAACCCGTTGTACCAACATAACTTGACCCATTCATTAATTACCAAACCGCTACACAAGAGATCTCTCTTAAATTGGACATTATAGCATCTCGACAAAATTTCTTTCAGTAGTTGAGAAAGTTTGTTTTGGATTCTTATGTCCGTGTGTTAAGGTTGATATTTGAATGTGTTTTTTGGTACTGACGGCAAATGGCGTGTGGTTTGGATACTAGTTCAACGCTACTTTCCACTTCACGGTCAAGAACACGGTGTTGCCAGGTAGTGATATTTACCCCGATTTTTGGGAGATTTGTTTTTTATTGTGATGGAATAAAATTAGTTTTAGAATGGCCATTTTTTAATAAATAATATGTGTCGTTATTAGATCTTTGTTGACATACAATTTTGGGATGTCAGGTTTGTAGTAAGTAAAAATATTCTATTATTTATTCCATTTAATGTAGTAAATTACATTGAGCACTATTTATGAGTCATTTAGGATATATATTTCAGGTGCGTGCCTAGCTGACGCTATAAAACTACATAGGAATCTACACCTTGGAATGAGCAAATAGCTTCACTTTTAATTTTTTTTTTTGACGTTCAAAAGTGCCTTTCTTGTTTAATTGAAATAAATGATTTTGACTTTGACTTTGAAATCGATAAAAATCTAGAATTTAGTAATTTAAATTTTATTATTACAATCTGTGTTTTTATGCCCGAATGAAGTTCTCGTTCATCTAACTAATCACTAAAACAAACAGACCTTTTATATAATAAAACTAAACAGTTCCAATACCTTGACAAATAAAAAAAAAACGCATAGTCATTTACATAAACAAAAATACACACCACATTAGTATTAACCGTATTTGAATAAATAACACATAAAGGTGCTAAACAATACAATTTTTCTAACACATAACCTTCAATTATAATAAGCATAAAAATCAGGCAAATTTTTCATTATACACCTGGTCTTCCATGGTGCAACTTAATATAAAAACCTTATTACACATACAGCCGTCCGGCCGAACGGACGCCGCTGCCTATAAAAAAAGAAAATTAAAAAGTAAAAATCTGTCATGGCGGTCTCGTACGCCGTTTCCCGCGTTTTAAGACGCGCGTCCCCAATCTTTTGTCAAAAAAGATTGGAATCGACTGTTGCTAGTTTTACAAAAGATGAAATTTTAATATTATTAAGGCCTCCGTTTACGAATTGGAGTAATATAATAAGAGACGCGGAGAAAGTGGTTGGATATCCGACATCGTTTATGAACTTGAGATGTCTACTGAGCGATGAGTTCGCTAACATGGCGTTATACCTACGAAAATTGGTAAGTTTTTAACATTCCATTAACTTTAAATTTATAGTCACTACTGCAAAGTGGATGTTACATTGTGAATGTCTACCACTGCTAATCTCTTCAGAGATTAAAAGGAGTTACGTTAGTAGCTACATTTTATTATCTACAGCTACCTTCACCTAGCTTCACTGACAGATTGACTGACTATTATTTATTTTGTATTTGTTGACGTTTCAAAAGTACCAAATTATGGTTTGATTGAAATAAATGCTTTGACTTTGACTTTGAATTTGACCGCATTTCAAATATTGCCTCGATGGTCGGGCTGTCGTAAACGCGACGTTCGAGCAACGCATCCATTTTGATTACCGACTTCGATAACAAATTAAACAGTGCGATATATGGTTATTTAAAATTCCCAAGTAGTTTATAAAGTTTGGATTTCTCTCCGATTTATGGACATACCTACGTTCCTCCCTTTTTACATGAGACTCATAACATTAAGTGTGGGAGAGCGATGCTTCGGCACCAACGGGCCGGCTCGACCGTGAAGCAACGCTTGCGTTGTGTTTCGTCGTGTGAGTGAGGTTACCGGAAGCCCTATTACCTTCCCCTTCCCCAATCTCCCCAATTCCTGAATCCCCAACGATCCTCAAACTCCTAATCCCCAAAAGGCCGGTAACGCACTTGTAACGCCTTTGGTGTTCCAGGTGTCCATGGGCGACGCCGATTGCTTACCATCAGGTGATCCGTCTGCTCGTTTACCGGCTTATGCCATAAAAAAAAACATTAACAGGCTGTCGCGTGTAGCAGGTAGTCGGGGGAGCACCTCTTTGTGTGATCCACAAATTATTGTTCCGGGTCTGGGTGTCATGTGTATATGAACTAGTATATTTGTGAACGCACCCACGACACAGCAAATCCTAGTGCGAGTCCAAAGATCATGCTAATAAAAAGCAGGAAACATAGTATTTTCGACTTTCTGCTTACTACCTCGTAGGTGTGATTATACCATGTTCTCTGAAGGGGGTAAACAGAGTTGTGATAACAGTTTACTTACCCATTTCTCATCAATTATAATATATCATGAGTCCCGTTGTAATAGGCGGTGAGTCCATTCCAAAACACTACTTATTATTCCAGATTCCATACTGTTACTTAGAATTTTTAAACAGTATATGTACTGCCTCGTTGGCCGAGTGGTCGCAAGTGCGACTGCCGGGCAAGGGGTCTCGGGTTCGATTACCGGGTCGGGCAAAGTATTACTGGGTTTTATAAATTCTCGGTAGTAGCACGGAGTCTGGAAATGTGCCCGGTATATGGCAATAGACTCACCCCCTATTACATGGGACTCATAACATAAATAGTGAAAAGTGGGTGTTACATTGTACAGTGGTATAATGAGCACCTCTGCCTTCCCCTTCGGGGATAAAAGGCGTGATGTTATGTTATGTTATGCTAGCTTCACATAGCTTCACTGACGGACTGACTGACAGACTATTATTTATTTTGTATTTGTTGACGTTTCAAAAGTACCAAATCATGGTTTAATTGAAATAAATGCTTTGACTTTGACTTTCAATTTGACCACATCGCTACCACTAGTTTACTTACCCACTTCTCATCAATTATAATATATCATGAGTCCCGTTGTAATAGGCGGTGAGTCCATTGCAAAACACTACTTTTCATTCCAGATTCCATACTGTTACTTAGAATTTTTAAACAGTATATGTACTGATTTATTCCGTCTATAGAGAGTTAAAGATTTCTTATTCATTAAGTGGTAATAAGAGCGACTAGTGAGGCAGAAATCATCTTTAATCATCCGACACGGGAAATTGTTTATTGGGTTATCAAAACGATGTCAAAAATCACTTATTTCTATTTTTTTATACGTAGGTTTTTCTCTGACTGTCTCGTTGGCCGAGTGGTCGCAAGTGTAACTGCCGGGCAAGTGGTCTAGGGTTCGATTCCCGGGTAAGGGCAAAGAATTACTGGGTATTAAAAAAATTCTCAGTAGTAACACGGAGTCTGGAATTGTGCCCGGTATATGGCAATAGACTCACCCCTTATTACATGGGACTCATAACATAAATGAGAAGTGGGTGTTGCATTGTATAGTGGCATAATGTGCACCTCTGCCTAGCCCTTCGGGGATAAAAGGCGTGATGTTGTTACGTTATGTTTTTCTCCTACGTCGTGAGTGCGTTCACAAACATACAAGTTCACATACCGGCTCGTCCGGAGCGATACCACAGCCTCAGAGAAAACCGTGTTTCGTTGTGTGAGTGAGGTTACAGGAGACCCAATTACCCCCCTCCCCATTCTCCCTAATCCCCACAAACCTCAAATTCCCAAAAGGCCGGTAACACACTTGTAAAATGATTCAGGTGTCCATGGGCAGCGCCGATTGCATACCACACCATCAGGTGATCCGTCAGCTCGTTCACTGGCTTATCCCATAAAACAACATGCGTATGTTTGTAAAGTAGCCAATCACTATGTACTATTGTACTACCTATTTAAAGTACGACATATTATGTGTTTTGCGTACGAAGTTATTTGCAAAAGCAATTATGAAGTACATTAGAGAAATGTTTATAGCTAACTACTTAAAAAGCTGACGTAGGTGTGATTGCTTGATTTGACTTTTAATAAAACATACTTTATCATTAGCATCCTGCATTGCTTAGTCCACTGGCGAACATTCATGGGCCTCCATTGCATAAGACAGTTTGCTATATAACTAGAGCCTAGGTTGAAAAAGAGACCTATGAAGTTTCTTGCTCGTTCTTCTCCATAGGAACACTACACCTTGGATTGAGCAAATAGCTTCACTTTTATTTTTTTGTTTCTGTTGAAACCATACTGTGCCGGTGCTGTTAAAATCTATGAGTTCGTGTGTAGTTTGGATAGATCCTAATACATATTTCTCGCTACTAATAATAAAATAGTGAAAAGTGGTTGTTACATTGTACAGTGACATTAAGTGCCGTAATGTGCACCTCTGCCTACACCTTTGTGGATAAAAGGCGTGATAATATGTCTCATACTTTTGGTGGCAAAATTATTTTCCAAAATAATATGTTTTGTCTCTGAAAAACTTGTCCCCGAATACTATGTAACGTACTTAAATTAAACAAGTTAATAGTATAAAATTCTTATTGACATGTCCTTGTATTTGCTTTTGGAAATCATAATTGCCACCAATTTATTTAGGAATTTTACATTTTATAAGTAATTGTGTCATTAATAGGGATGATGATAGGGTATGAAAATTAAAAATCTAATTAGTCCGTCAGTTAGGCAATGAACTATGTCAACTCTTTGTGTGATCTACATTTTGTTGTTTCGGGTCTGCGTGTCGTATGTTTGTGAACTTCTATGTTTGTACACGCATCCACGATAAAAGTCAAAAGTCAAAGCATTTATTTCAATTAAACCATAGTTTGGTACTTTTGAAACGTCAACAAATACAAAATAAATAATAGTCTGTCAGTCAGTCCGTCAGTGAAATTAGGTGAAGCTAGGTGCTCATTCCAAAACGTAGATTCGAATGGAGAAGAACGAGCAAGAAACTCCATTCGTTACTCTTTTAAAAAAGTATGTTCTACAATGTCTCTGATACATATTTCAATACTGTACGCATATGTAAGAACAATGCAAAGACACGCTTGACGCATTATACTAATAATATAGGAGACATTATACTAATGATACAGGAGACAAAACAAGTGTGGGGTTTAAAAAAGAATTCCCTCTCTATTTCGAAACATTAGGTAATAGGGTAGATGACTAATTTTTATTTAAATGTCCGTCTGGTAGATTATTTTAAAACATTAGACACGTATTTTTTATTTTTTTTACAAAAACAAATACTTTCAACGATATGTTGATTTGAAATGTCGCGTGACGTCACTTCTATGTACATTTTATACGTAGAAATGACGTTTTAGCCCCCACTCCTAAACTTTGATTCGTTATACCTATCTAAGTATCATTTTATTATAAAACAAAATAAAAAATGCACGTCTAATATTTATTCATTACCTAACTGATGGACTAGTTAGATTTTTAACTTTCATACCCTATCATCGTCCCTATTGTGCACCTTTTGCTTTCAGTCAGTACCAACTAATTAAATTAACTACAACTAATCATTTCTAATGACTATATCAATAGTTACATTAAGACGCCATTTTGCCATCACGAACAACCCTGAGAATATTGCACTGTCATTATAGTACGTACATCAACATCATTATCATCTGTGGTGATTATGGAATGAAACCATTGCATCATAATGACTATGGTATGTCAAAACTAAAATGGTCTTAAATATACCTTTTCAGTATGACCATGGTATGTTATTGGCTTTTCCGATTACAAAATTCGCTGTAATAGCACAATAATTTCTAGTCGAAAAATGCTTTTTACTCATCTAATCTATCTATCTAAACATCACGCCTTTTATTCCCGAAGGGGTAGGCCGAGGTGCACATTACAGCACTTAATGCCACTGTACAATATAACACCTACTTTTCACTATTTAAGATTTGAGTCCCATGTAAAAGGGGTGAGTCTATTGCCATATACCGGGCACAATTCCAGACTTCGTGTTACTACTGAGATTTTTTTTAAAACCCAGTAATTCTTTGTCTGACCCAGGAATCGAACCCGAGACCCCTTCTCAACCATTAAGTCATTTACGTCCAAATTCTGAAAGGTTACTCAATTTTAAGTGGTATTTCAATATCGTGCTGACTCTGTTGTTTTCCAAAGAATTCGTAAGGACAACTATACTTAAGCGCGACTTAAAATTGAGTAGCCCTTCATATACACTCTTCCTTTGATATATGTCACTGGAATAGCTTGGAATTTTTTCCTATTCTTCCATAATAAAAAATGTCAAATGTCATTAATGGATTGAAAAATCGACCCTTAAAGAAACATGCTTAACGTAACAGAACATCACTCCTTTTATCCCCGAAGAGGTAGGCGAAGGTGTACATGATGTCACTGTACAATGTAACACCCACCCTTCACCTTTAACTCGTCGAGTACCGGTTTTGTAGACACAATATTATAGAACAATAGGTTGCGGTCACCGGTGACCGCTTGGTGTTTGACAGTTTAAATAACCATATATTCCAATATCGCTTGCTTGCCTCACAGAAAACGGACGTGAAACAATGCTTGCGTTGTGATTCGTCGTGTGAGGTAGGTTAGAATTATAGGTTAGAAATAGTTAAATTAGTTAGCCCAATTACCCACCCCCTCCTCTTTCTCCAATCTCCCCAATCCATGAATACACAATAATCTTAAAATTCATAATCCCCAAAAGGCCGGTAACGCACTTGTAACGCCTCTGGTGTTCCAGGTGTCCATGGGTGACGCCGATTACTTACCATCAAATGATCCGTCTGCTCGTACCGGACCTCACAGAAAACTTTGCTTGATCCGAATAATGAACTCAGAGTATAATTATAATTATAATTATATTTATTATAATTATAGAGTATAAATAATTTTCTACCGCTTATACCACGGGGAGTGCTCTGAGGAATTGTTTGACCTGATACCTGCCGCATTTTGTCGCCATCGACCCTCACGACAGCATATGCATCCCCATCATATAGATGGTTGGCAGGCCACAACTGTGCGGTTCTCACGTAGCTTCCTGCCTCGCACAGCAAAACTGTGGAATGATCTGTCGTCGGCGGTATTTCCGAACCGATACGACCTTCAAACCTTCAAGAGAAGAGCGTACTCCTTTTTAAAGGGCCGGCAACACACCTGTGACTCTTCTGGTGTTGCGGGTGTCCATGGGCGGCGCTGATCGCTTACCATCAGGTGATCCGTCTGCTCGTTTGCCTGCTATTCCATAAAAAAAGAGCCTCACACTCAGAAGGCAGCACTTTAACATAAACTATGATTCATCTCCAAATAATGTAGCTCAATTTAAAAAGTCAGTAAAACCGGTTTGGGCGTAGAAAGCAAAAGTCCAACTTTCACATCACTATGCTACACTCGTAATATAAGTGTTTGTTTGTATTGTTCGTTAGCATCTCGGGAACTGGGCTTGTTTTCGTGAAAGGATCTTCGTTGGGGTGTACGAACGTGTTTTTTTTTTTGTAATATTACCAGACAAGTTAAATACTGACCTATAAGTAAGATACTGCACGGTTTGTGCGGTGGCTGGGCAACCGACTGCCGTGCAACGTGTCGCGGGTTCGATTCCCGCACGGAACAACACTTTGTGTGATCCACAGATTGTTGTTCCGGGTCTGGGTGTCATTGTGTATGTGAACTTGTATGTTTGTAAACGCACCCACGGCACAGGAGAAAATCCTAATGTGGGGCAACGTTTTTCAAAAAAAAAATATACGTATACTTATAAAAAGAATATTGTACAAAAATTGTATTCTGACCCGTAAATTACATATATATCTACAAAAATCTAATTAAAACATCCTTAAAACTATTTACTGTTGTTTATAGTATGAAAACCAAATGTATGGTAGCTATACCTTTGTCTTATAAAAATTGTTATCTATTCTATACCTCTATATCTGTACATATAATAAAACTGTAGAACACTTAATTGGGTAGTGCCTTGGGTATCAAAAATAAAATTCTAATCAGTCCGTCAGTTAGATAATGAAAAAATATTAGACACGTATTTTTTATTTTTTCGTATTAAGTTGTAATACTTAGATAAAATGGCGCTAAGTTCAGGAGTGGGAGGGCGTTACGTCATAACGTGCTACAAAATGTGGCACGCTGTGACGTCACAAGATATTTCAAATTAATATATCGTCAAAAGAATTTTGTGAGAAAAGAAAAAATACATGTCTAAGTTTTAAACTAATGTACCAGACGGACATTAAAATAAAATTTAGAAAACTACCGTATTCTGTACATTGAAAAGAAAATATTAAAAAAAAATAGTAGGGGTGTTACTAGATAGACACCGATTCCAAAAGTGAGATTAAAATAATAACTATCTCTCTGTCTGTGTGTGTTCACGCATCACGCAGAAACTACCTATCTCTCTCAAACTTCTTTACACCGGGCGTCGGGGATCGCGTGACGATCTCCGGCCACCGTAAGCGCGAGACTGCGGACGGCGAGCATGGGTGGCTCCTCGTCCGACCAGAAACAGATCCGAGCGTACGGCGCGTCGCGTTCCGCGCGCGCCTCAAAGAGCCATCAGACCACCACAGATGGGGCCCAATAGGGCCGATGCTGATTCGGAGTCGCGGAAATCCTAACGGGTAACCAGGGCTCCGGCTCGACGTACAGGAGAAGGAACGGGGTGGTTTTTAGTCAGTAAGAGTCTGACACTCCCTCCCGCCTCACCCCCTCACCCAGGCGGGAGCAGTCATTCGATGATTTTCCCCCCTTAAAAAAAACCATTTCTTCTATTACAAAATTCTATGCCATTATAAAGAATTTCTACGTTATCGTATAGAAACAGGATCTATAACATATTGGCTTCTGCCCGCGACTTCGTACGCGCAATCCCGTTTCTCCCATTCCCGTAGGATTTCCAGGACTTTTTTCTGTCATAAGAACCTTCTCCTGACGATAACAAACACAATAAAAAAAAAACAGCCAAATCGGTCTACCCGTTCTCAAGTTATGACGTGATAACGGAAAACGGTTTACATTTTTGTATATATGTTACATATATACATGTAACGTAATTAAAATATTATGTTATAATCATAATACATACATTAAATTTTTGATTTAACATGTATATGCATCCTTACTGGTCTTGTCATAAGGTTTATTTCTCTTTATTTTGTATTGAATGATAGAATTTGTATGAATACAAATAAAACTGCGATTTTTAAAAGTCTTATTACTTTGACTTACGGTCCATTTCGATTTGTTTTAACAATACAGGGTTAATATGACAATAATTTCCGTAGTTAATTATTTTTGGGATAAAAAAATACCTATGCTAAAAATTATATAAATCGATTCAGTTAACGATTCTGAACAAACTATTTTCAGGATGTGCGTTATTTAAGTTACATGTTGTAGATGAAGATGACTAATAACAGAATAGTGAAAGTAATACCCGTTAGCTATAAACATGGTTTGGACATGACATAATGTTAATAGACACCAATAGAACATTTTTGCAAAAATCACTTTCCATTTTTCTTCATTAAATTGTTATAAGTTTTATATTTATGCAAGAAATCGCTATTTGGTTATAAGACCACCCATTGAACTAGATTTTGTAGAATGAGGATTTTAAGAAAATCTACCTTTTATTTTTGTAGTCCTAAGCCACTTTTTTTAATGGTATAAGCCGGTAAACGAGCAGACGAATCACCTGATGGTAAGCAATCGACGTCGCCCATGGACATCTAAAACACCAGAGGTGTTGCAAATGCGTTACCAGCTTTTTGAGGATTGTTGGATTTCGGGGATTGGGGATCTCCGGTAACCTCACTCACGCGACGAAACACAACGCAAGCTTGTTTCACGTCGGTTTTCTGTGAGGCCGTGGTATCACTCCGATCGAGCTCCTAATAAATAAAGTTAATCCAAATAAATCACCCGTTTAAGATTTCTTAAAACAATTATTTTGCTCTTTTAACTAAAATCGTCACCTTCTTGTCTCCAGGTCGGCAGCAACCACCTCGTGATGCAAACTGCAAAAAACGTCCTCTACGGAGACTCCAAAAACCTGCAACCCTGGGGCCTGATCATCCTACTACTTTCAAAATCCGTCAAATCAGCCCACGTGACCCCTCAAACGAAGAAAACCGAAGAAGAAACCAGGGTATTAGCAGAACTGACAGAAATGATGAGAACTGGCCATCTGATTCATAAAGGAATTGTAAACGTACCTTTCGCAAAAAGGTCAAAAGACACAGAATCAGCTATTTTCGGAAACAAAATCGCTTTACTTCTAGGAGATTACCTTCTTGTAACCGCTAACGGTATGCTTGCTAACCTAAGAAATTCTGATGTATCCTACATAATTTCTACTGCCTTAAAAGACTTGTCTGAAGGTGAATTCTTCGGAGAAAGAGATGAGCAAAACATGCCCATACCAGGTGAGCCAAAAATCACTGATAAAGACTACGAAATCAATTTCGACACTAATTCTATTGCAGTAGATGATGTTTTGGGTAAGCCCAGAAAAGAATGGACAGCTAGAACTGTTTACAATGGTGTTAGTCTCTTGGGCAGAGGCTGTCAATCAGCTATGGTGCTTGAAAGACAGAATAGAGAAACACAGAACTTGGCATATCAATTTGGTTGTCATGTAGGCCTTGCTTGGCAAGCCGCTACAGAATTACAACAACTGACTTCAGAAAGCAAAGAACAGTTCTGTTTAGCAAGTGCACCCGTACTTTTTGCTCTAGACAGCAATCCCAATTTATACCAGATTATCACTCAAGCGAAAAAAGACGTTAAAGACGTCGATTATGAAGATTTAAAGTTCAATATCCTAAAAACTGATGCGGTTGATAAGACACAGATGCTGTATAAGGAACATGCTAAGAAAGCCACTGAGTATATTGATGGTATTGGACAGAATGAGTCCGTTGATATGATAAAGAAGTTGATTAACACATTTTAGGAATTATATTTAAGAATATTAATTGTTTAATGTCCCGGCAAACTCGGTAAATTACCTCTTTGGAAAACATTAATCAAAATGTACGAAAACATATAATATTCTCGAAATCGTGTATGAAATTTTAGAGTCGAATTTCCGTCCCTATTATTGCATACTATGAAACAATAAATAGTAGAGAATGTCATTAAAATCAGTACATCCGTTTTTGATTTATGAATGGTCCATCAAACAATTTATCATTGAATTTTGTATTTACTTTTTGGTATTTAAATACAGAATTTTTCGACTATTTCTGTGGTTAAATTTCTGATAATGTAACTATGTAGGCAATAATTTAAAGTCCTTACGAAATATTTACCTATAACAAAATATGTGTCAATAAACTAATAGAAAATTAATCAAATGTTAAAACAAACTACGGGACCAATGTCATTAAGACCCAATTTTTAATGACGATAATATAAAATGTATGAAAGTTTATTATTATGTATGTAAATGAAAAGGAAAGTACATAAAACTTAAATATTTAAATGAAGTCGCATTTTTGAAGAACTTTTACATTTTATTCTAAAAGTATGTCGCATTTAACTTTCATTTTTAAATGAAATATATTTTTAGAACGTACATGATTTATTTTGTACACAATGGATTTTAAATTAAATGACAATAATGATAATTATTTATTATTTTAACTAATTTAATAAAGATTTAATAATTGTTATCATTGAAATAAATTGTTAATCATGTCTTATGAACATTTTACTGTTCATTTAATGTAATTAAAAAAATTATAATGCATATAACATTTATTGTTTAGTAAATTAATAATTAATTTGATAACAATTTATTACTGTTTCAAATTATTACACATAATTATTGAATAAAATGTTGTAATTATTTTATGTTTATTGTTTTTATATTATTTGACTAGCGGCTTCGCATGGATACACTATGCATGTATTATATATATAAATCTTCCTTACGAATCACTCCATCTATTTAAAAAACCGCATCAAAATCTTTTGCGTACTTAGTTTTAAAGATCTAAGCATACACATAGGGACAGACAGATGGCAGATAGCGACTTTGTCTTGGGTTCGTACACAAAACTGCGATGCGACGTCGCATCGCAAAAATGTGCGAGCTCCCACTACGCATCGCAAGAACTTGCGAATTGATTCGCATCGCGCATCAAAATCTTATCTTCCCAAAATCTTCTTTGTTTCTTTTTCAGAATAACAGAAGTGCACACTTCTTTTTACGATCCATGTCACGACCTAGTTTTCAATTTAAAATAAGTACGTTTAGTACGGTTGACGGTCGTCGAAGGAATGGTCACCCTGGGAGACGCTCTGTCGCATCGCAGCAATTCACATCGTAATTTTTTGTGTTTTTTGTAGCATAAGCCAGTAAACGAGGTGACGGATCACCTGATGGTAAGCAATCGGCGTCGCCCATGGACACCTGAATCACCAAGGCGTTACAAGTGCGTTACCGGCCTTTTGGGAATTGGTAATTTGAGGATTATGGAGGATTCGGGACACTAGGGAGCCCCCTCCCTAGTATTTGGGCCTCCGGTAACCTCACTCACACGACGATACACAACGCAAGCGTTGTTTCACGTTGGTTTTCTGCTCGGCCGTGGTATCACTCCGGTCTAGCCGGCCCATTCGTGCTGAAGCATAGCTCTCCCACACTTATTGCACACATTAAAAACGCGCCTTAGAAAAATAGCTTATTCTAATAAGTTACTTCCATTGTGCCTAATAGAAATAAATGCTTCGACATTGAATTATTACATTGTTGTAAAAGGATATGACAAAATATATGACACGGAGATATGACGAAATAACTGTAATTACATAGTAATATATTTTAGTGAAGGACAATAATATTTAACCTACATCTCCACTGACTTGAAAATTTTATAAAACACTTTTGAGCAAAGAAATTGAGCCACTGGCGCCTTTTTTATTTTATAATTTTATCGATCGCTCTATAATCTTAATAAAGATTATTTTTACAACTTTCATTTTAAACGACGACGAATCACCTGATGGTAAGCAATCGGCGTCGTCCATGGGCACCCGGAACACCAGAGGTGTGACAATGTGCGTTACCGGCCTTTTGAGGATTAGGAATTTGAGGATTGTTGGAGATTTAGAGATTGAGGAGATTGAGGAAGGGGAGGGGCGATAATTGGGTCTTCGGTAACCTCACTCGTACGATGAATCACAACGCAAGCATTGTTTCACGTCGGTTTTCTGTGAGGCCGTGGTATCACTCCGGTCGAGCCGGCCTATTCGTGCCGAAGCATGGCTCTCCCACACTTGCATGACTCCGTCTTGAAAAGAGGTTAGATACCCCCCACTTTAAGTGCTCATGGCCAACAATTTTGACCCAGTTGATTACTGAAACGTTATAATAAGCTTATGAATTACCATTTTGTAAAATACACTTTAATTGATGCCTCGCTCGGCTTAGAACCTTGACCAACTGATGTGCTAAGTGCTATATATGTGTCTATGCTAAGTATGTGATGTTACATAATGATATAACGCCAGTTATTTAGTGAAGAATTGAATAATATAATAGGGTACTCACTTGCAAATTTGCTATTGTCCATGTGTGGTGGTGATCGCTTACCAAAAGATTATACATCAACTGTTCTAAAAAAAAAATCTCAGTTCTCACACATCAGTTTTAGTATTTATAACATAACCTCACGTCTTCTTCCTTGAAGAAGTGGGATAGGCAGAGGTGTCCATATAACATTTAAAATTCAACTTTTTACTAGTTTTGTTATGAACTTTATAAACGATGAGCTATTCTTGAGATAATTCGGTTCGGCCGATTCGGAGCCGCGGAGGTCTTGGGGCTCCGGCTCGAAGGGCAGGAATAGGAACGGGGTGGTTTTTAGTCAGTAAGACTCTGGCACTCCGTCCTGTATATTTGTAGATTATATGTATAGATAGATCAGCAGTTAACGTCTTGTAGCTGATATGATAAAGATGATTCATTGTAAATGATTTCCCGAGTAAATATAGGAAAAATAGAAAAATTTTATGCGCAATCAAAGTCTAAGGAAATGTCTAGTACTATACATATTTTATACCTAAATGCTAACTAGACTTAACAGTCATAGGTCTATTATCAGATGCATACTAAACATCGATATTAACAAGTGAGACTGCCTCAATGGAAGAGTTGTTGTCAGTAGCACTGCTAAGGAAATGGTCTCGGGATTGATTTCTAGGTTTGGGTAAAGTGTATAAAAAAATCTCTGGATTTTTTTTAAAGGGGGTAATTCATCGAATGGCTTCTCCCGCCTGTGTGAGGCGGAAGGGAAGACTTTTACTTGTACTCTTTTTTTTTTAATTTATTTATTTAAGGAACTTTTAACAAATTGTTACACCAGTTCCATCGAAACCTTATCTAACAAATACACAATTACAAGGTAACTAATGAATACACCAATATAGCTTCAGGTGACATTGGTTGACCCAAGATTACATTATATGTACCCGCCTGTGTGAGGCGGAAGGGAAGACTTTTACTTGTACTCTTACTGACTAAAAACCACCTCGTTGCTACTCCTGCACTTTAAGCCGAAGCCCCGGTAACCCGTTAAGTTCTCCGCGGCTCCGTATCAGCATCAGCCCTATTTATCTCCATCTGTGGTGGTCTGATGGCACTTTGAGGCTTGCGCGGAACGCGACGCGCCTCCTCACCGCACATCACACACACGTTTTAATTGATTTGAGGTTTTATAGACAACTAGCTTCTGCCCGCGACTTCGTACGCGTAATCCCATTGTTTCCCGTACCCGTTCGTGATTTTCGGTAAAAAGTAAAAAAAAAGTATTGGTTAAAAAGTATCCTATGTCCGTCTCCTGGCTCTAAGCTACCTCCCTACCAATTTTCAGCCAAATCTATTCTACCGTTCTTGAGTTATAAGTGGTGTAACTAACACTACTTTCTTTTATATATATAGATACTAGCGACCCGCCCCGGCTTCTCACGGGTGCAATATGCATGTATTATACATACAAACCTTCCTTAAGAATCACTCTATCTATTAAAAAAAACCGCATCAAAATCCGTTGCGTAGTTTTAAAGATCTAAGCATACATACGGACATACAGCGAAAGCGACTTTGTTTTATACTATGTATTGATTGATAATAACAAACGAAGTAACTATATGACAGGATATTGTTCGTATTTTATCATTGGCACAAACAATTAGCGAATATATCGTACGGTCTCTAGTTAGTTTATAGTGTGTGTGTGTGTTTCTGTTTTATATGGCATAAGCCGGTAAACGAGCAGACGGATCACCTGATGGCAAGCAACCATCGTCGCCCATGGACACCTGGAACACCAGAGGCGTTACAAGTGCGTTACCGGCCTTTTGGGGATTAGGAGTTTGAGGATCGTTAGGGATATAGGGATTGGGGAAGGGGATGGTAATTGGGCCTCCGGTAACTTCACTCACACGAGGAAACACAATGCAGGTGTTGCTTCAAGTCGGTTTTCTGCTCGGCCGTGGTATCACTCCGGGTGAGCCGGCCCATCCGTGCCGAAGCATGGCTCTTCCACACTTAAAACTTGTTTGTGTACATCGATTTTGTTTCGCTATATAATGTACAAATCCTTTATACCTGAGACGTATACGACGTTAGGTACATATGAAGCGCAATAAGCAATGAATCACCATTTTTTTGTTCTTAGGTATGTTATGAGCCCGATTGTCGCAGTTGTTGGAGGTTAGGTTATTGGTCACAACTGAATTGAGAGGAAAACTCCTTAAATATTTCTTGCCCGATCCGGATATTGAAATTAAAACGCCTTGCTCATCTGTCGTACTTGTGGACACACAGCCAACAAGACAATCAAATAGGAGTCAGTATAAGTAGACTCATCTACTCCTACTTATACTTTTTACCATTTTCTGTTAATCCCCAATAGAAAATTTATCAATATAGCGTACCTGATAAACACAGTAAATAATCAAAAAAAAAATTTACAATTTCTAAACTAGTGACATCTATGTTTGCACGTTGGAAATATTACGTGCGAAGAAAACTAACATCTTCATGTGGTTTAGTTCTACGATACAAAGTAGATGGCGTTAGTAACAAAACCAATGTGAACGTCAAGAAAACCTCCATTATGCATGTATAAGGCTACGGTGAATGCTTATCAATCGGCCCAAAGGGTTGGTTGCTACACCCAGGCTGAGGGGAACCTAATGGGTTACCGCAGCTTAAAGCCGGAGTAGGAACGGGGTAGTATTTAGTCAGTAAGAGTCTGACACTCCCTTTCGCCTCACCCGGGCGGGAAAAGTCATTGGATGATTTTCATAACATACCATCACGCCTTTTATATCCGAATGGGTAGGCAGCGGTGTACATTACGACACTTAATGCCCCAGTACAATGTAACACCCACTTTTCACTATTATACATGTTACTAGTCCCATGTCCCACGTAATAGGGGTGAGCCTATTGCCATATACAGGGCACA